CTCTGTTGATGATTAACCTTATCAAATGTTGTATGTAATATAATGTCAAAAATATTGGGCTCAATTTTCACTATTTTTTTTTACCTTTTAGATTAGTCGACTATTCTGAATTTAAATTTCCAACAGGGAAATTAGTCGCCATGAACATTCCTAATTAAATAAGTACAGAATAATCTTAAAAGGTATAGCTATGAAGGCATAAGTCAGGTTAAGCTTGCTGATTGTCACAATGCTGCCTTGACTAATGATGCATGAATACATTATCAATGGCAATGCCACACCTGGTGATAGGGAATTAAAAAGAATCAATTAAAAGCACAAAATCTGCACACAGTCATAAACCAGGAGGAGATACTATTATCACATACTGTACCCAATGTTACATTGATGCTACCTTAATAAGGCCTAGTTTATTACTTGCATGGTATTAACCAAGCAGGACTCTCACCAGACAGTGAGAGAGAGTCCAGTATACTGCTCATCCTCCACACTAATGACTTCTTAAATTTGCAGTTGACACAGTTGTTGTCAGTCTGCTTCATGGATTTGAGCCATTAAATGTGCCTGTGTTCAATGGTTTTGCACAGTGGTGTGATGATCACTTTCTGAGACTAAAGGTCTCCAAAACCTAAGATACGGTTATTGACTTCCTTAAGACATCACTTCCACCTTCCCAGACCATGGTTAAAGGACAGAAAATAGAAACTGTAGATAGCTAAAGATACCATGGAACTTATATTGACAAAGTTTTTAATAAACTAACTTGTAAAAAAATATGTTTAACAAAGAATTTCCCACGATGAGGGCAGAACAGATTAAAAGCAACATTTTTACTGACATGTATTGCTGAGTTATTACAGTTTCGAGTCCTCTGTGTTTACAGTCAGTAGGGCTCTAGTCAACCAAAGGAAATTCAACCAGTCGATGGGGAGAACATCCCTCAATATTACAACAGCAGTCCAAAATGGTCCAGTCTGACACTGTAGCCAACATGTTAAAGCAAGGTTCAGATAGCTAAACAACACAATTAACACTAAACATAAAACATAGCAAAACATACAACTTCTAAGTAGGGATGTCACAATACCAGAAGTTTAGTAGTAAATACCAATACCAGTGAAAATCCACGACTCTTGATGCTATGGTAAATATGTTTGAATATAAGGTTTTTTTCCGCCCCTGATACCCATTTAATATCTGCTGATACAAAGTCCTGATCCAATACTTTCTGCAACCAAGCTGTTCCTTAATGTATTTTATACTTAATATATCAATATTAATATATTATATACTATTTTAAATACTTAATAACAAAATAGGCCATAAAATAGCCTAACAATCCCTCTGTAATGTTTTATGGTCTTGTTGCTGTCTGGAAGGAATATCTCTCTCCCTTTAAAAGTGTCCTGCAGTGTTTGTTGCTTCAGTTCAACCTTGGTCAACCTGAGTTTAACTGTATTCTGCTGAGTGTTTATTTTCCTCGTCTCTACATCTTTTGTGCGGGTTACATTAAAATCCAGGTGAAATGGAAATCAGAGAGCTATTTGCTTCCGCATGTTTACATATTTTCTGTAAAAGCAGGCAGTTAGGGAGGGACTTCTCTTGGTAGCTAATAGCTCTGTGTGTTACGTCCCCCAGTTAGCTTCTGTTAGCAACAAGTCCATCTGGAAACTCTGTAAATCACCTCGGTACCACTGTCGTCAAACTGTCCTCAGTCTGTCTCTGAGGTTGTGTTCACTGAGAGGCTGCTGATCACCGTTCAGTTGCAGGCTAACAGCAGCTACATTACAACAGCATTTGCAGTTAGTGGAGTTCAGGACGAGCAGCCAAAGGTCATTAGAGGGAAAATCAGACAATATTCTCTCCATAAAATATGATCCAGTTTCAGTCAAATCACTGATAATCTTGTGCTTTTGTACAGTAATCAGTGAGGCCCGGCCCCCAGAAATACTCTGCTCCTATTGCTATTGTGTCAACCACTTTTGTGTGCAAAATGAACACACTTAAGCCTGAATGAGACAAATGACCATTTCATGCACACTGAGTAGGGGAATGGTGAACAGGTCGTTGTTGAAAGTTGAAGCCTTAAAACACCTTAAAACCTTTTAACAGACTTGACAAATTGATTTCAGTTAGATACAAACTCCAAAACAAATTTCTTGAGTTATTTGTCTTTTATTTTAATTGTAAAATGAAAAGCTAAAGTTAAAGGACATGCAGAAATCAATGAAGAGCCCAAACCAATGTTTGGACTGGCTTCAAGATACTGAGGTATAGAATAAACCAGGGAAACAGTATCCTCCAGTTGTGCTCTACACAACACGAGATGCAGATACATATCGTACATAGTCATTACATTAAATAAATATTACCATATTACATCAGTGGATAATTTTACAATCCAGTGGGTTTTTGGTGGAACATTGTTTGTGTCTGATATATTAACTGTCTTACATGATTAAACAAAGATATCAGCTCAAGTAAGGACACCATCAACAACAGCAGTTGGCTAAAAATACAACTGATAGATACA